TTTTTTTTTCCCAGCTATTTTTTGACTGTAGTTGTCATTGTTGTTTGGCAGGCCCAGACCGGATTCGAACCCACCAGCTTTGGTGTATGTGGCTGGCACCTTAGCTGATTGAGCTACAGGCGCTCAGCCTTATATTTTTGAGATTTTCCCAGACTCTGAGACCTCTAAGATACTAAGGAGGTTATATTCTTGACCATCCAAATCCTGATACCCCCAGATTCTGTAACCCACAAATCCTAATACTTTCCCATCCATCCTGAGTTCCCCTAAAATCCAAGCCTCTCAAATTCCCAGACCTTCATTTTTATGCCCCTCTACCTCCACACCTCTTCTCAGCACCCCTCAGCTTTCCCACCTCTCTCCTGCCCTCCCTCAAGGACACTGTAGAAACACAGAGCCCTATAGGGCCCCTTACCTAAGACTGGGTCTGCAGATGGTGCAAATGTGGGGCTGAGCCTTCTGAGCTGCTGTCGCAACCCCAGAATTTATAGAGGGACACTCAGCCCCGCCCTGGGGGGCAGGGACAGAGACAGAATTCCTTTGCTCAAACACAGGTCTGGAGGCTTAGAGACTGTCCTGCCACCTCTGGCTCCACACAGGCCCAAGTGCCTCCTGACAGCTGCAGAGCCCCTCCCCCACCCCATCATCCTGCCCAGCAGCCCCCATCTCCGGCTCCCCATGGAGCTTTACATTATCTCCCAGCTTAGAGCAAAAGGTATCCTGTCTGTATGTTGACATCCTAGGCCCAGCACACAGTAGGCCTTTGGACAATGCTTAATGAAAAAAAGGGTACAAGGCTACTTCCTGTTTCTATCGCTCTGTTCCCTCATTCTGTGTCCACCTGGGCCTCCATCTCTGAAATCCTGCTTCTGTTGTCTCTGTGTTTTTCTTGTCTGTGGCTCTCCATCTGTGTATCTCGTATGTGTCTCTGTCTACCTCTCAGTCTCACCCTCTCGGTCTCCTGCTCCCCACCCCCACTCTTTTGTCTGCCACCAGGATTCCACCCTAGTGACAACAGGCACTAAAGCTGGGAAGCAGGTGTGGAGGGGGAGGGGAAGAGGATGGGGTGTCAATTAGGCCGGCAAGACCTACACTCCCAACCCCCCTCCTCCATCTGACACTGATCTTTTTTGGTATCCCTCTCCCCCTTTCCAGCTAGTCCATGACCTTGAACTCTAGGTTCAAGCCAGCCCTGGACAGCAGGCTTCTTCACACCTCTGTGGGTCTAAGGTATCTCTGTCTCTCCTGGTCTGTCTTTGTGTTTCTGTATGTGTGCATTTCTCAGGGTCCCCCTTTGGGTCTTTGTCTTAAGCTCTCTCTGCATCTCTCTTGTCCCTTTCTGGATCCTCAGGATGTTTTCCTCTGTGTTTCTCCATGTGTTTGTGTCTCTGCATTTCTGTGGGTATCTCTGTATACCTGCCTCTCAGTGTGTGTGTCTGCTGGAGCTCTGTGAATTTCTGTCTGCTGATGGCCCCATTTCTGTCTCTCTTTGGCTCTGGGTATCTGAGTCCATGATCATGTCTCCATCTTTCTAGCTCTTTCTCAATGTCTCTTTGAAGGTCTGGAGTTCTCCCCCTTTGCCTCTCAATTTTTGTCTTTTTTCTTTTGTTTTGTTTTTTGAGACAATCTTTCTCTATCATGCTGGGTAGAGTGCCTTAGTGTCATCATAGCTCACATCAATTTCAAACCCTTAGGCTCAGCCTTCTAAATAACTGGGACTACAGTAAGATGAACAGATGTCCCACTTTTGGCGGGACAGTCCCAACTTTTAGCAATTTGTCCCACATCCCGCGGCATTTTTAAAAAATCCCGATTATGGCTCGGCACCTGTGGCTCAAGTGGCTAAGGCGCGAGCCATGTACACCCAAGGCAGTGGGTTCGAATCCAGCTCAGCCCGCCAAACAACAATGACGGCTGCAACCAAAAAAATAGCTGGGCGTTGTGGCAGGCGTCTGTGGTCCCAGCTA